AGTGACCATCGCGTCCGGTGGCGTGCTGCCCAACATCCACGGCGTGCTGCTGCCCAAGACCAAGGGCAAGAAGGGCAAGGACGAGGCCGAGTAAACAGCTCGTCGCGGCTTTGCCAGTGCTGCAGCACTCGCTCACCCCCCAAAACGGTGGCTCTCGCCACCACCAAACCATGATCCCTGGACGAGACATGCACAACTGCAATGGATGACGGTGGCTCTTGCCCTCCCAAAATCAAACTTTTTCTTTGGGGCGGATCCCATCTGTGATGCTTGGATGATAGTGCTGTTGCGTCTGAGCAGTGCTTTGCTGCTGACGTGATACTTCAGTGGTTGCTTCTCATGCGGATTGAGACGCCAAGTGGTTGCATCGCTCGTCCTCACTTGATCCATTTGAAGGCCAGCCATCACTGTTTGTTGGTTCCTTGAACTTCTTGCTGCCGACACAACGTGGTCCATCAAGTGGTGTTTAGGTGAAGCCCCCGAAGCTGCATCCATTCTGAGACATCTCCCGTATGCCTCACTGCTACAGCAGGATCCTGCAGAGTACGCACCTGGGAGGTGCCTGACAATTGTGTGAGCATAATTTTTTGGTTTGTTGATTTCCCGTGCGGTATGCACGATACCGAGGTGGAGTGGGGCCCTATCGCAGCAAACTGGGGTACAGACGCCACTGCACCTCACCCACATCCATCAATGTCTTCATGCGCCGCGAGCTGCAGCGAATGCTGCGTGCTGAGTGTGCTTCCTGCACAACTCCAACCTGCGTCACAATTCCAGCTCAGCAGCGGGTTTTCAACGCCACCGCCAGATATCGCACAGAATGACACAATATGCATGGGGCTACCGCGTGTGGGCACACTTGGTGACCCACTTGCACTGCCATCTGGCATCAAGCCCGCGGTGCCCACGCAAGTTGTGAAACGCATTGGTGTGTTGACACCAGAAGGTAGCCATCCGCAATTGCTGCTTGCCTAACAACATCGTGTTATGGCAGCCTTATTTCTTAACGTGTGTTCACCATGTCACTTGGTCGCTTGCAGCAACGCACAATCTTTACCCTTACCATCACGCTTTGCCCAAAGGCTAGCATTGCCCGTAGGCAGTAAATGCATAGCCTGCTGTCAGCAACAATACAAGCCGGCAGGGCGGCAATCTGCGCTGTGGAAGTGCGGTGAAGCCCGCCCTGCCGGCCCGCTGGTCATTGACATTGCATGTTGCGGCCCATCCTTTCGCTAATGCACCTGCAGCACCCAGTCAAATGCCCCTGATTGGCATGCGCAGCAACCATCATGTGAGGCAAGCCAATTCAGGCTAGGTGTTCTGAGTGTGGGTATATTCAAGCCTTGCACGCAGCGCTGCTGCTTGTTGTCATCACTCACCGTCACCGGTGAAGTTGAGGGTGAGGCGGTGTATGTTGATGTCGCGGTCCGTCCAGCACGCCCATGTGGGAAGGTTGAGAATGTGGAACCTGTACTACGAGCTTTTCTTCGAACGCAGCTTACCTGTTGGTTTTGAGAACACGAGATCATCGTGACGCGATCACGCCCAGTCTCCACAACAACGGACTGCCGTCTCCGCCGTGCAATCGTGACGGTTTAGATTGAGCGCGATGCATGCACAGGCGAAGTTGCGGGTTGGTCGCTGCAGCATCAGCATGCCCTTCTCGCCATCGCACGGAGCAGCGCAGAGGAGAGCACAACACACACAAGTGGCTGCATGGGGTAAAAAAGCGGCCGCGAAGGAGCTCCAGGTGGCGGTCGACCCATACGCCCCCTGCAGGTGTGCACCACCTGGCACCCGAGTGCTCGCGTCCTTGCTTATGCTCGCGCCGCTCGCCTAGCCAGCATGATTTGTTGTCCAACATCCGGCGCTCCGCAAACGCGCACACTTGCCACATTGTCCACCGTGTCCACCTCCATTCACCCGCACCTGTGGCCCCTCGCCCCGTCATCCTGGCACGGCCTTGTGCGACCTGCGCAGCAGCGCGCAGGCCCAGCAGCAGTGGACGAGCGCGGTGCCGATTGTTCTGGCGGCGGCAGTGTCGTTTGGAACCGCCTACTTTTACAAAATAAAGGCTGAAGATTCTAAGAGGGGCCGCCGGCAGCTGGAGCCCTGGCCAGAGGTGGGCATGGGCAATGCTGGCAGCTGAACATCTCAGCTGTCCCCAGCTGGCACGGCTGCAGAGATGCAGGCGTCTCTCGCAGCGCGCCGCACCATCGTATGCCGTCCGCTTGGCGCGCAGTGCGAGCCCAGCCGTGGCAATGCAGCGACGGGATTGCCACCAGCGGCAGCGCGCATGCGCGCCCCGAACTGCGGCACCTTCCTCCCTGCCCTCGTGGGAGCCCGGAACCCTACAAGCCTGGCATGTTGCGCAGTGATACTTGTCTCCATTCTATCGCGTCCCCTCCCAATCTCACTACATCCTATGTCGTCCTGTCAACACATGCACACACACACACACACACTCCTTCGCTCTCTTCCACACACATGCACACACACACACATAAACAAACCAGATCCCGAGGCCGGACGCCGACCCGCGCGCGTACCAGCTCGCCCTGGCGCGCACCCGCCAGGCGCTGGACGTGCAAAAGGCGGTGGCCTACATGAAGGCGGGGGAGCCGTCGCGGTGCGCAGCTCGCAGGTTCCAAACCTGGCGTATCTTGACGGCAGTCGTCACTGCACGTGGCGGCCTGCGCGGCCGCGGGGACCGGGGCGCGGCTCTCGCGCATGGGGGCACCTTGCTCGGCGGCTTGCACGCCGCGGCTGGCGGCAGCGGCGGTCAACGGGGAAGTTGAAGGGACGCAATGGCGCGCAGCGTGGCAACTCCTGCCTGGCCCGCTCCTGGCAACTTCTGAGGGATGTGCGCCCGGTCATGCCTTCGGGTCGCCATAACCCCACCCCCACACCAACCCCCTCAGCTTGTCCCGCCGGGCCCCC